TTGGAATCACACTGCCACTTTTGGGGGTTTTTTTTTTTGGTGGTTCATTGGAGATCAGAGTCTCCTGGACTTTCCTGCCTGGGCTGGCTTTGAACTGCGATCCTCAGATCTCAGCCTCCTGAGTAGCTAGGATGACAGGTATAAGGTACTGGCACCTGGCCTAGAGCTGGAATTTTTCAGGAAACAGAATCTGCGGTGAGCCGGACCCTGGTTCTAGAACCCTCTCTATGGTTCCTACTCACCTTGGCTCCCAAGAGGAAGGCTGCCCAGAAGGGAGATAGATGGCAAGCTAGGAAGACTGCCTGAAGGAGGAGGCCGCACGGATCCATGGAACTAGATAGTCAGGAATTGTGGGTAGAGAGCTGCCTCTCTTGGGGGTCTCCCTGAGATGCCCCCTTCCAGGGTGGGTCTACCCCCTTCACTCAGAGGGAGTAAAATGGCCTCTTGGTCCTGTCCTGTGAGCTATGGCAACCAGGAAGAGGCCTGGCCACGTCATCTAAGACTAGAAAAGCCACCATTGATTTGATGCAGTCACCGCCACTGCCTCCTCCTCCTCTTCTTCCTCTCCCTTCTGCAATGGAGAAGTGTGCACGTGTGTGTGTGTGTGTGTGTGTGTCTGTCTGTCTGTCTGTCTGTCTGTCTTGCAACTGTCTGTCTACATGAGGTTCAGCCTCAGGTGTCTACAGCTGCACAAGTGGAAAGGGTTGGGGTCCCCTCAAGTCCCACCCCCCCAGCCTTGCATCCTCCCCTGGACAGGCCCAGGAAGCGGGGAGCCAACTGAGGACTTGCCCTGTGACACCTTCCGGGCACAGGGGGCCCATCAGAACCTTTGAGACGGAAGTTCCAGGAAGGCCTGTAGGACCGGCACACGTGTGCGCTGAGGGCTGGACACACAGGCACGCACACGCACACGCACACACTACCTCACCCCATCCCCCTTACACACCTCCCTCCTGTCCCCACTGACTCAGGCTGGAGCCAAGCGTCTGTGGGACGAGGCTGCCCCCTGGTGACTGTAATGACAAATCACATGCAAGTGGCCTGGGCCTGGGAGCCAGGAACCTTGGGGGCCGGAACTGGAGGTTTAGCAGCAACGGGGCAGAGGGGGTAGAGCAGGAGAGGACAGAGGCTCTGATCCCTCCCCCCCACCCTCCCCCACCACCCTTCCCTCCCTCCCCACTTTCTGGCAATTGGCACTGTGTGTGTGTGTGTGTGTGTGTCTGTGTGTGTGTGTGTGTCTGTGTGTGTCTGTGTGTGTCTGTGTACTGGGATTTGGACTCAGGGCCTGAGTGTTGTCCCAAAGCTTTTTTTGTTTTTTTGGTCTGGCGTGGGGCTTGAACTCTGGGCCTGAACGCTGTCCTTGAACTCTTCAGTTCAAGGAAAGCACTCTACCACTTGAGCCACAGCACCACTTCTGTTTTGTTTTGTTTTAATCTGCTGGTTAATTGAAGAGAAGAGTCTCAGAATTAAGCTGGGCACGCCTCCTCATCCTAGCTACTCAGGAGGCTGAGATCTGAGGATCATGGTTCAAAGCCAGCCCGGGCAGGAAAGTCCAGGAGACTCTGATCTCCAATAAACCACCAGAAAACTAGAAGTGGCGCTGTGGCTCAAGTGATAGAGCACTCACCTTGAGCTAAAGAGCTGAGGGACAGCGCCCAGGCCCAGAGTTCAAGCCTTACGACCGACCAAAAAAAAAAAAAATGTCTCACGGACTTTCCTGCCCAGGCTGGCTTTGAACCACAATCCTCAGATCTCAGCCTCCTGAGTAGCTAGGATGACAGGTGTGAGCCACCGTATCCGGCAATCACCATCTCCAGGGCCCTTTGCCTCCTGCCACACCCCTCCTGTCCCAGTTTGTTCCTCCTGTCTCCCCAGTGGCAAGAGGAGACCATGGTGTGTGTGGGGGGGGGGGGCTCAACCATGCCTATGGCCCAGAGTGGCAGTGTGCCCGCCCCAGTGGCACAGCACACAAAGGCAGGGGTGTTGACAGCTCCCGTGGGGCTGGGCCGCTCCAGGTACAGCCTCAGCCTCCCCCTGGGTGTGGGAAGGCCCAAGACCCCCCCCCTCCCCGATCAGTGTAGTGGGGGTAGCCACAAGTGGACCAAGAAGCCCCCACTTAGATGATGGCCCGGACTCCACTGTGGGACACTCATCCCAGGCTCTTGGGAGACCACCCCCCAACTTCTTTATGAAAATGGGCGTCTACCCCTTTAACACTGGAGAACCATAGAGGATTCCACCCCCCCCCCATGCCCACTGCCCACTAGGCCACTGCCAGGCATGCAGAGAAGGGAGCAGTTCTTGCCAGTGCCTGAGGCCTGGCCCACCTCAGATCCCTCCCTCCCCACAGTGCTGGGGGAAGGGGTATCGATGGGGCGAGGAGGGTGCCCAGGCCCTGCCCCGCGCACTGAGACCAATGTCTCCAGAAAGGCTGTGCCTGGTGGCTCACACCTGTCATCCCAGCCACTCAGGAGGCTGAGATTGGAGGATCACGGTTCCAAGCCACCCTGATCGCCAATGAGCCAGCAAAAACCCAGAAGTAGGAGCAGTGGCTCAAGTGGTAGAGCACCAGCCTGGAGCAATAAATAAATAAATAAGCTCAGGGACAGCGTCCAGGCCCTGAGTTGGAGCCACCATACTGGTTTAAATTTAAAATGAAAAAAAAAGGGGGGGGGGGTAGCCATTGCTAGCTATGGAGCAGAGGAAACACAGAATGGAGGGGGAAAAAAATCTCTGAGAGCAGCCAGCCCCTCCTGGCCCTGGAGCAGGCAGTAGAGGGGGGCGGGACCCCAGGAGAATGTGGTGTGCTGTACCACATGTACACACACACACACACACACACACCCCTGGCCCTCAAGGCTCAGCTGTGACGCAGACTGCGACCCTGAACATGAAGCCGCTGCCGCCTGTAGTCTGAGCCCTCTCAGCCCAGCTGTGCAGCCAAGGCCACAGCTCTGTGGTGGTGATGGTCAGGAGGGGGGTGGGGGAGGGGGTAAATGGAGGCCAAGGACCCACTCACCCCTCCCCTATAACGCCTCAGAGAGGGTAACCACATTGGGGCTGGGATAAAGACTGTCCGTCCCCTCTCTCCAAAGAGACTCTCCAGTGGGGCCTTCGCTTTCTTTACCAGCCCTAGGGATGAGGGGTATGAGAGTCTCTTCTCCAGTGAACCACAAGGTTGGAAGTGGAGCTGTGTCTCAAGTGGCAGAGCACTAGCTTGGAGCAAAAAGCCCAGGGACAGCACCCAGACCCTGACTTCAAGCCCCAGGACTAGCGATCTGAGGATACTAGATGGGCATCAGGGTCGGTGCTGAGGTCAAGGCCCCCAGAGAAGCTGGGTGCTGGTGCACATGCCTGTAATCCCAGCTACTCAGGAGGCTGAAATCTGAGGTCTGGTGAAGCCGGGGTGGGTGCTGGGGAATTCAAGCCTGGTGTGTGGGACCCCCTCCCTCAGAAGCCAGTGCCCCCTTGTAGAGGTCAATGCCTCATAGAGGCTGAACCACCCAGCGGGAGGGGCCCAGGTGGATGCTGAGGACTGAGCTCTTCTTCTTGGGACCCCATCTGAGATCAAGGACTCCCCAGTATCTGTACACACACACCAAAGAAAGCCTGTGAGCACAGTTTATTCATCGCCCTGTGCATTTACAAGCAGACCTATTATGTTTGCCAAACTTGGGTCACATGGGTATTAATCATTCTTTGTGTCCTGTTTGCATTTTGTATGGGGGGGAAGGAGGGGAGTCATGGCTGGATCACACGGCTTAAGAAAAGTCTCAGGCCTGACATGGTGCATACACCTGTAACCCCAGCCACACAGGAGGCAGGGATTGGGAGGATCGTAGTGCAAGGCTGGCCCTGGTGCTCACAGGAATGTCGGGAATATGTCTAGATAAGCCAAACGCAGCCTGGACAGATGGGGTCTGGGCTGTGTGTGTGTGTGTGTGTGCCCGTGTGCACATGGCCGGTACTGGAGCTTAAACTCGGGGTCTCATGCTTTTGCTGGCTTTTTTAAATTTATTTTTTACTTAGTTTTGGTCGGTTGTGGGGCTTGAACTCTGGGCCTGTGCGCTGTCCCTCAGCTCTTGAGCTCAAGGTGAGCGCCCTACCACTTGAGTCACAGTGCCACTTCGGGTTTTCTGAGTGGTTTATTGGAGATGAGAGTCTCACGGACTTTCCTGCCCAGGCTGGCCTCGAACCGAGATCCTCAGATCTCAGCCTCCTGAGCAGCTAGGATGACAGGCCTGAGCCACCGGTGCCGGTCTGGATTTTAGGGGCCACAGCTGGGGCTCCTGGGGCACCTGGGCCCTGGGGGTGACCCGCTGATCTGGGGGGTGAGCTGGGGGGGTGACCCGCTGATCTGGGGGGTGAGTGGGGGGTGACCCGCTGATCTGGGGGGTGAGCTGGGGGGGTGACCCGCTGATCTGGGGGGTGAGCTGGGGGGGTGACCCGCTGATCTGGGGGGTGAGCTGAGGGGGGGGTGACCCGCTGATCTGGGGGGTGAGCTGGGGGGGTGACCTGCTGATCTGGGGGGTGAGCTGGGGGGGGTGACCCGCTGATCTGGGGGGTGAGCTGGGGGGGGTGACCCGCTGATCTGGGGGGTGAGCTGGGGGGGTGACCCGCTGAGCTGGGGGGTGAGCTGGGGGGGTGACCCGCTGATCTGGGGGGTGAGCTGGGGGGGTGACCCGCTGATCTGGGGGGTGAGTGGGGGGGTGACCCGCTGATCTGGGGGGTTAGTGGGGGGGTGCCCGCTGAGCTGGGGGGTGAGCTGGGGGGTGACCCGCTGATCTGGGGGATGAGTGGGGGGGATGACCCGCTGATCTGGGGGGTGACCCGCTGAGCTGGGGGGTGACCCGCTGATCTGGGGGGTGACCCGCTGAGCTGGGGGGTGAGCTGGGGGGGGTGACCCGCTGATCTGGGGGGTGAGTGGGGGGGTGACCCGCTGATCTGGGGGGTGAGCTGCCCAGGGGTGAGGGGGCAAACCCTGGGCTCTGGACCCTCAGGAGATGAACAACTACCGGCGGGCCATGCAGAAGATGGCGGAGGACATCCTGTCCCTGCGGAGGCAGGTCGGCATCCTGCAGAGCGAGAACCGCGTGCTCAGGGGTCAGGTGGCCCCGCCGGAGGCCGAAGAGGAGTCCAGCCCGGAGGAGGCCGAGGAGGCCCTGGGTGAGGCGGGGGCGGGGGGCGGGGCCTGGCGGGAGCTCGCGCGTGCGCAAGGGCACAGGCACGCACGCATGCGCGCACGCGCGGGCACAGACACGCACGCATGCGCGCACGCGCGGACACAGGCACGCACACATGCGCGCACGCGCGGACACAGGCACGCACGCATGCGCGCGCGTCATACGGGCCTACACAGGCACACACGCATGCGCGCACGTGCGGGCACAGGCACACACGCATGCGCGCACGTGCGGGCACAGGCACGCACGCATGCGAGCACGTGCCTACACAGGCACGCACGCATGCGCGTGCGTGTGTGTACACAGGCACGCATGCGCAGTCCCTGCCCAGCAGGCATGCTCCAGAGCCGAGCCCCACCCCGGAGACGCAGGGCCAGGGGGGCTCCCGCCTGCAGCCCCAGGAGCTGCCCCCCCCTCAGCCTCCTCCCCCACCCCAGCAGCCTCCATGAAGCAGAAATTGCTCCTGAGCGAGCTGGACCTGAGGAAACTGAGGGATAAGGTGCAGCACTTACAGAATGAGCTGATCCGGGTGAGCAAGGCCCAGGGGGGCAGGGGGGTGCTGGGGCAGAACGTGGAGCGGGGAGGGGGAGCCGCCCTGCAGGCAGCAGCAGAGCCCCTGGAGGCCCAAGGTGACCCCCCCACCCCCCCACAGAAGAACGACCGGGAGAAGGAGCTGCTGCGCTTATGCCAGGCCCAGCTGCCGCAGGCCGCCCTGCTGAGGCACTACCAGGACAAGATGCAGAAGATGAAGGGCCTGGAGGACACCGTGCGGCACCAGGAGAAGGCAGGTGCTGGGGGGAGGAGGCGATCCCCGGGGACGTGGGGGGGCGGGAGAGAGGGGGTAGGGGTCCCAGGCCAGCCCCCGCCTTGGTGCTGCCAGGTGATCGAGAAGATGGAGCGGGTGCTGGAGGACAGGCTCCACGAGAGGAGCGAGCCGCCTCCTTCAAGCTGGCCACCAGGAAAGCCCACTGCAGGTGGGTCCACCCCCTGAAGCAGAGAGGAATGAATGGACCCCCCTGTCCCCGCCCCAGCTTGAACTCTGGGCCTGGGCGCTGACCCTGAGCGCTTCAGCTCAAGGTGAGCACTCTAGCACTTGAGCCACAGCGCCACTTACGGTTTTCTGGTGGTTCCTTGGAGATAAGAGTCTCATGGACTTTCCTTCCCCCAGCTGGGTTTGAACTGTGATCCTCAGATCTCAGCCTCCCGAGTAGCTAGGATGACGGGTGTCCAGCCCCTTCCCAGCTTTTGCCCTGCCTTCTGGATGCCCCAACGCCCCAGTTATACAGGAACCCAGGAAGAGGAGCTGAGCTGTCTGTGGCACACAGGAAAGATGGGATGGACAGTACAAGGAGAAACAACAGAGTCAGATTCTAAACAGCCCAGCAGGACAGACAGATTGCCACCAGCAATGGAAAGCCACGGCCGGGGGCCAGGGGCTCACACCTGAAATCCCAGACACTCAGGAGGCTGAGGGCTGAGGATTGTCTTTTGAAGCCAGCCAGGGTAGGAAAGGCTATGAGACTTTTCTGTCCAATGAAACAGCAAAAAAAAATCCAGAAATAGAGGTGTGGTTCAATTGGTAGAGCACCAGCCTTAAGTGACAAAGCTCAGGGAGAGTGCTCCAGTCCTGAGTTCAAGACTCAGGACACACACACACACATACACACACACACACACACACACACGCACGCACACACACACACACACACACACACACACGCACGCACACACACACACACAGAGCCATTGGTGGCTGTGGAGCCGAGGAGGAGTGCAATGGAAGCGCATTCAAGGCAGAGCAGGGCAGAGACATGGAGGCAGGAAGGCCCAGGCCCACACACCCCTGGCCACGTTGGCAGCCTTCTCCATATCCCCCGCCTGCCCACAGTTGAGAACCTGCCGGCCAACCTCTACTCCGTGCTGCTGGCTGAAAACACCAGGCTGCGGGCAGAGCTGGAGAAGAACCACCACCAGTCGGCCCCCATTATCCTGCAGCAACAGGCCCTGCCGGTAAGAGCCTCCTGCAAGGCTGGCCTGGACCTGCCTACGTAGGTACCAGCCACGGCCAGGAGCACCAGCCAAGCTTAAGGTCCAAGCTAGAGCTGAGCATCCTCTGTTTGTGCCTTTTATCCCCGCCACTCAGGAGGCTGAGACCTGAGGATCATGGTTTGAGGCCAGTCCAGAGTTTCAGGGAGACTTCTTATCTCCAAAGAGCCACCAAAAAGTCACAAGTGGCACTTGTGGTTCAAGTGGTAGAGCTCCAGGCCTGAGTGGAAAAGCCAAGGAACAGCATCTAGGCCCTGAGTTCTATCTTCAGTACTGGGGTTAAAAATAATAATAAGAGCTGGGAAGATGGCTCAGTGGTAAAGTGCTTGCCTCACATGCATGAGGCCCTGGGTTGGATTCCTCAGCACCATGGAAAGTAGAAATAGCTGGAAGTGGTCCTGTGGTTCAAGTGGTAGAGCACTAGCCTTGAGCTGAAGAGCTGAGGGACAGCGCCCAGACCCCACGACCAACAAAAATAACAATAAAAAATAATAATAATGAAAGCTGGGTGCTGGTGGTTCACACCTGTCATCCTAATACTCAGGAGGATGAGATCTGAGGATCACAGTTCAAAGCCAGCCTGGGCAGAAAAGTCCGTGAAACTCCTATCTCCAGTAAACCACCAGAAAACCAGAAGTAGTGCTGTGGCCCAAGTGGTAGAGCACTCGCCTTGAGCTGAAGAGCTGAGGAACCACTGTGCCCAGGCCTAGAGTTCAAGTCCCATTACTGACAAAAAAGAAAAATGCAGCCAGGAGCTGGTAGCTCATGCCTGTCATCCTAGCTACTCAGGAGGCTGAGATCTGAGGATCATGGTTTGAGGCCAGCATGGGCAGGAAAGTCAGTGAGAGTATTTTTTTTTTGGGGGGGGGGGGTCCAGTCATGGGGCCTGAACTCTGGGCTTGAGCTGTCCCTCAGCTCTTCAGCTCAAGGCTAGCGCTCTACCACTTGAGCCACAGCTTCACTTACGGCTTTTTTCTTTTTGCTTATGTGGTGCTGAGGAATCGAACCCAGGGCCTCATGCATGCAAGGCAAGCGCTCTAGCACTGAGCCAACTTCCCAGCCCAGTGAGAGTTTTATCTCCCATGAATTACTCAGAAAAGCTGCCAGTGGCACTGTGGCTCAAGTGGTAGAGCACTAGCCTTCAGCTAAAGAAACTCAGGAATAGCACCTGGGCCCTGAGTTCAAGCCCCAGGACCAGAGGGAAAAACATCCATGCTAGGCACCTGGGTTCAGTGGGGTTCTAGGTGTCCCCTGGGATGTGAACTTGCACACCGTGCTTTTGATCCCGGGGTACAGGGGGTACACGTGTGCATCCAAACTCTCCTCCTCCACTCGCCTTGAACTTCCAGGTTCCGAGCCAGCCCCACATTACCGTGACCCTCCTCCAACTTCTACCTGGACCCCACCCAGGCTGCCCAGAACTCCCTTCTAGAACCTTCCCTGGGATTGGTACAGCCTTGGAGAGGCCCTCCCCCACCCCCCATGCCAGGTGGACCCTGGGGAGTTGGGAGCAGGTGGAGACGCCGCAGAGAGGCTGCGGGAGATGGATGGCCAGAGACCCTGTCCACACAGGTGGGCCCAGGGCCAGGCCTCAGCTCCGTGCAAGCTCAGGGCGGGGCCCGGATGACAGCCAGGGCTGGGACACTCTGGGCTCACTGCCTGGAAAACACTTCCAGATGCCTAGCCAGCTGCCCCATAGGGACGGGCGTTTTGGCTTCTTCACAGGATCTTCCAGAACGTTCTCCATATAGTCCCTTGTGGGCATGAAAGAAAGCTCCCTCACACCTGTTGTTTACATGCAAACATGCATGCGTGCAACTTCAGAGGCCAGCCAGGCACCCGTGGCTCACGCCTGCCATCCAGGCTACTCACGGGGCTGAGAGCTGAGCCCAGTCGGGAAGGTCTAAGAGACTCTTCTCTCCAATAAGCAGCCAAAAGCCAGAGGTGGAGTGTGGGTCAAGGGGTAGAGCCTCAGCCTGGAGCAGACAAGAGCCAAGGGAGAATGCTCAGGCCCTGAGTACTGGCACCACATCAAAAACAGCCCACAACTTGGGAAGGTTCCGATCTGTGAGAGAATCTCAGTGCAGGCCAGAGCCTGTGCTTGTGTGGAGGAAGGCTGAGTTTAGAACTCAGAGCCGGCTGTCTCAGCACCGCCGGAGCTCACAGGAGCTGGCCTGGCCCCCGGCCGCCGCGGCTGCACAGCTGACTTTCTGCGTTGTCCACAGGATCTCCTGGGCAGCAGCTCTTCAGACAAGTTTAACCTGCTAGCCAAGCTGGAACGCGCTCAGAATCGGATCTTGGCCCTGGAAAACCTGGTGGGTGAGGTGAGCCTTGGCTCACTGCTCAGCCTGCCACCAAGATGGAGGCTCAGTACACAAATAGTTTCAGGGCTAAGTAGGTGACCAGGACCAGGGCTTAGTATGTGACTAGGATCCAGGCTCGTCAGTGACCAGAGTCAAGGCTCAGTGTGTGACCAGGATTGAGGCCCAGTCTGTGACCAGGATCAAGGTGCAGTGTGTGACACGGATCAAAGCTCAGTGTGTGAGCACTCTCAAGGCTTTGTGTATGACCAGGGTCAAGGCTTAGTATGTAGTCAGGATCAGGACTCTGTGAATGACCAAGATCAGGCTCAGTGAATGACCTTGATCAAGGCTCAGTGTGTGACCACAATCAGAGCTGTGTGTGACCGGGATCAAGGCTCAGTGTGTGTCCATGATCAGAGCTCAGTGTGTGACCAGGGTCAGGGCTTAGTGTGTGAGCCCTCTGCAGGCTCAGTCTGTGATCAGAGTTGGGCTGAGGGCTCAGTATGCTGTGGGCTGTAGAGACGGTCTGTCTGTGTGTTGGAGCCCTGGCTGAATGGCCTCTGTCCGGCTTCCCATGGGTGTGCTGGGGTGGCGCAGGTGTGGGCGCAGGACCGGCCCTGTGTGCCATGGGCCGCACTGCCAGGGCCTCTGCAGCGCCTGTCTGGTGTGTGCAGCTGGAGGACTCGGCGCGGCGCTGGGGACGGGAGAAGCAGGACCTGGCCACGCGGCTGCAGGAGCAGGAACACGGCTTTCGGCATGCCTCCAGCCTTGTCCTCACAGACCCGGCTGTGAGTCAGGCCCAGAGGAGAAGTCCAGAGGTTCAGGTGACCGGGGCCTGGAGGAACATGGGGGCAGCTCCTGGAGAGGGAGCTCTGTCCCTGCTCTCTCCCACCCCCCCTCACTCCCCCAAGGATTGCTTCAAGGTGACTGTGGCCAGGTCCTGTGCTCACACCTGTAATCCCAGCTCCGCACAGGCGGAGATCTGAGGACCAAAGTTCAAAGCCAGCCCAGGCAGACAGATCCATGAGATTCTTCAATGAACCAGCAAAAGGCTAGAAGTGGAGCTGTGGTTCAAATGGTCGAGCACCAGCCATATGAACACGCAAGGCTCTGAGTTCGAGCCCAGTTCCCAGTGACAGCGTGGCTACGTTGTCCAGGCAGCGCAGGGCTGAGCTACCACGTCAGGAAGCCGCACACACTCCCCCCCAGGCTCAGCCTCGGTCCTGGATTCTCCTGCTCCAGGGCCTTCCATCCTTCGCTCATGATAGAAAGTACTGTGGACTCTTTTTAATTATGTTCTGTGCCGGTGCTGGGTCTTGAACACAGGGCCTGGCTGCTGTCCCTGAGCTCTTTTGCTTTGTCTGGCTTTTGGCTGGTTCACTGGACATAGGAGTCTCATGGACTTTCCTTCCCGGCCGGCCTTGGAACCGCGATGCTCAGCTCTCAGCCTCCGAGTGGCTGGGATGACAGGCGTGCGCGCCGGCGCTCAGCACCCTCCCAGTGTGTCCCCCACTTCCACCCCAAACCCTTCCTCTGTCTGACACTCTCCTGTGCGTGCTCCTCCCACCTAACCCTGGGCGCCTCCCAACCCCAGACGCCCCATCGGGGACCTGCTCAGCCCTGTGGCATCACAAGCCTGGGAATCTGTCAGAAGTCAGGAGGCCTCGGGCTGTGGATCGCTGGGTCCCTGGACATGGGGCACTGTCCTCACCTGAGTCACCTTGCATTCCGCAGAATGTCTTCATCTCCTCCACGGACCCCCAGCGGCCCCCAAAGCTGGAACCCCAGCAGCCGGGCAAGCCGGCGGCCTCCCCGAAGGAAGCGGCCGACTCCCCCACACCTGAACGGCCTCATGCCTGAGTCTGCGCAAGATGACTCTATTAAACACCATCGCGCATCACCAACGCCTCCTGCGCGGTCCTGCCAGCTCTGAAAAGCCTGAGGCCGCAGGGGCCCAGGGCATGGCAAATGGGAGGGAGGGGAAGGGGGGATGGGGGTACGGGGGGGGGGGGTGCCAGGAGGCTGAGATCTGGAGGATCACGGTTCAAAACCAGCCCAAGCAGAAAAGTCCATGAGACATTGGTCCAGGTAACCAGCAAAAAGCCGGAAATTGGGGCTGGGAAGGTGGCTCAGTGATAGAGTGCTTGCCTTGCATGCATGAGGCCCTGGGTTCAATTCCTCAGCAACACATAAGCAGAAAAAGCTGGAAGTGGGACTGTGGCTCAAGTGGTAGAGCGCTAAAAACTGCAGAGCCAAGGGACAGCGCCCAGGCCCAGAGTTCAAGGCCCACAACCGCCAAAAAAGGCCAGGAATGGAATTGTGGCTCAAGTGGTAGAGCGCCAGCTGTGAGCCAAACAGGCGTGGGGCATGGACGCAAGAGGACTCATTGCGTTCCACACCAGGCTTGGCTTTATAACAAGACCCTGTCTCAAGAAACCAACAGCCACCAAAAGGGGGGGAAGATAGGGGGCAGTCTGGAATTTTCCACCTGCTAAATACCTGCCCTAACTGGAATCGTGTCTGTCAGACCTAGTTTGTCTGTGTCTCTGGAAGGCACAGGCTTGACATCTCCAGTGGCCGTCACTCAGTGCTCCATTGATCAGGGACAAGGAGGTGTGCAGATGCCGGCGTGGTGTCAGGCCGGGGCCCTGTAAGGCCAATGCTGGCCAACCTTGGGGACAAGGTCAAGCCTTCTCCCCAAGGTCAGGGTTTTCATCTGTTCCATGAAAAGCTGGACACCTTAGATAGGAGCTCTTTCCAGAACTGACATGTGTGCCTCTGTGTGTGTGTGTGTGTGTCTGTCTGTCTGTCTGTCTTTCTCTCTGTCTGTGTATGTGTGTCTGTCTGTCTGTGTGTCTGTGGTGAACTTGGGGCCTGGGAACTGTCCCTGAGCTCTTTCACTCAAGGCTAGCATTCTTCCACTTGAGCCACAACTCCAGGTCTGGCTTTTTGGTGGTTCATGGAAGACAAGAGTCTCACAGACTTTCCTGACTGGGCTGATCCTCCAGATCCTCAGCCTCCAGGTAGCTGGGATTACAGGCGTGAGCTAGCAGCGCCCTGCCAGAACTGGCATTTCTGAATCAAAGCTAACAGGTCCAGAGGAGAGAGAGAGCAAAGAGCATCCGCCAGGCACTGAGAGCTCTGGCCTGGCATCCTAGCTACTCAGGAGCCTGAGATCTGAGGATCACAGTTAAAGCCAGCCTAGGGAGGAAAATCCAACCCTTCTCTCCAATTAACGAGCAAAAAGCTAGAAGTGCAGGTCTGGCTCAAGTGGTAGAGCACCAGCCTTGATTGAAAAAGCCAAGGAAGAGTGCAAAGCTCTGAGTTCCAGCCCCAGTATTGTCAGAGAGAGAGAGAGGACAGAGAGACAGAGACAGACAGATGGTGGCGTGGTGGGGGGAGGGGCAGCAGGCTAAGCCCGCTGGGCTGCTGTCCCAGGCTAGACCCGCTCCTGTGTGGACTAGAGGGGACCCACGTGGAGAGCCGATGACCTCCCTGCCTCCTGCCCCTGAGGGCAGCCAGGGTTGAGGCCCACTGGAGTCTGGGCAGGTCTGAGGAGGGGGTCAGGGGGAGGGGGACCAGGCCAGGCCCGCTGGAGGCCAGGCAGGTGGGAGGAGAAGCCTGCAGCTCTTCTGAGCAGATCACCCCACACCAGCCCCTCACCCCCAGGGACCACAGTCCTGGCTACACCCCAGGATGGAGCAGAGCCCAGAGCTGGCCTCACTCCACGGGGGGGTGGTCCTACCCACGAGGCAGGGCTGGCCCTGGCCAGTGACATGGAGGCCAGCCTCACCCCCAGCCCTGGGGGAGCCTGGGGGTCAGCCCTGCAGCTTCCTGAGCCTCTGTGGGCCCCAGGATAGAATGTGCTGGAAATGAACATCCCAAGTGGAGGTCTACTGTTTATTGGCTTCCTGGGGTCAGGGCAGAGGGGGCAGGGCAGAAGGCGGAGCTGAGCTTGGGGTGGGGGGATTGGAGATTCAGGGGTCCCCCTGGGCCATCGGCGGGGCGGGGGCCGGGGCGAGGGGCAGGAGGGTGAGGAGGATGGGCTTGTCCGGCACCAGGATGAGGCTGAATTTGGTCCCCACCTCGCTGAGCTGCTGCAGTTCGATGCGGAAGTTCTCCAGCACCTGGGGGCGAGGGACGGGGTGAGGGGGGAACAGCGTGGGCTGGGGAGGGAAGGGGTGTCTCTCCTGGGAGCCAGTCACCCACTCAGCCACAGGCAGGGGCCAGCTCCAAAGAGTGGGTCACCACCCCAAAACCAGCCCCCCACCCTGGGTCCCAGATGATTGCTGCTGGCTGCTGGGTTGGCTGAACCTAAGCCTGGACCCCCACACACCTTAACCCTGCCCGTCCCCACAGAGGGGGGTGAACAGCCCCCTCACACACACAGATGCACACATGCTCGTGCACACACACACACACATGCACACACACACACACACACACACACACACACAGACAGCACCAGTAGCTCATGCCTGGAATCCCAAGCTATTCAGGAGGCAAAGATCTGAGGATACACTTCAAAGCCAGCCGGGGCAGGAAACTCTGTGAGACTCTTATCTGCAGTGAACCACCAGAAAACACGTGGAGCTTGGCTCAAGTAGTGGAGCGCTGGCCTTGAGTGAAAGAGCTCAGGGACTTTGCCCAGGCCCTCAGTCCAAGCTCCATGACCAACCCAGACAATAAAAATAAACAGATGTCCTTGGCCCTGTACTCCTGGGGCAGAGGAGGAGGAGGTGGAGGAAGAGCAGGAGGGGGAGGGGAGGGGGAAGAGATAGAAGAGAGGAATGATGAACTGGGAGATGGCTGGATGACTCCTCAGGGCCAGGCCCAGCCCAGCCACACATCAATGAGCACAGTCATCTGCAGCTCTGGAGGAGGGGGAGATGGAGGAGGGAGAGCAAGAGAGATGGAAGAGGAGGAGGAGATGGAGAAGGAGGAGGGGGAGCTGGAGGAGGGGAAGATAGAGGAGGAGAGGGAGAGAGAGAAGGAGGGGGAGATGGAAGAAGAAGAGGGGGAGATGGAGGAGGATGGAGGAGGAGATGGAGAAAGAGGAGGAGCAGGTGGAGGAGGAGCAGGAGGAGGGAGAGCAGGAGGAGGAAGAGGAGCTGGAGGAGCTGCAGGAGGAGGAGGAGGAGGAACAGAGGAGGAGGAGAAGGGGAGGAGCTGGAGGAGGAGCAGGAGGAGGAAGAGGAGGAGCAGCAGCAGGAGGAGGAGGGGAGGAGCTGGAGGAGGAGGAGGGGAGGAGCTGGAGGAGGAGCAGGAGGAGGAAGAGGAGGGGAGGAACTGGAGGAAAGGAGGAGGTGGAGCAGGAGGAGGAGGAGGCGAGAAGAAAGAGGAGGGGAGGAGCAGAAGGAGGAGCAGGAGCAGCAGGAAGATGGGAGGTGGAGCAGGAGGAGAGGAGCAGCAGGAGTAGGAGCAGCAGCAAGAGGAGGGGAGGAGCAGCAGCAGCAGCAGGAGGAGCAGGAGGAGGGAGGAGCTGGAGGAGGAGAAGCAGGAGGAGGAGGGGAGGAGATGGGGAGGAGGAGGAGTAGCAGCAGGAGGGGAGGAGCTGGAGGAGCATGAGGAGGAGGGGAGGAGCAGGAGCAGGAGGAGAGGAGGAGCAGGAGCAGAAGGAGGGGAGGAGCAGGAGGAGGAGGAGGAGGAGCAGCAGGAGGAGGAGGAGCTGGAGGAGCAGGAGGAGGAGGGGAGGAGCAGGAGGAGGAGGAGGAGGAGCAGCAGGAGGAGGAGGAGCAGGAGGAGGATGAGGAGCAGGAGGAGGAGCAGGAGGAGCAGGAGGAAGAGGAGCAGGAGGAGGAGCAGGAGGAGGAGGAGGAGATGGAAGAGGAGGAGATGGAAGAGGAGGAGCTGGAGGGGAGGGGAGGAGCTGGAGGGGGAGGAGGGAAAGAGGAGGAGGAGGAGCAGGAGGAGGAGGAGCAGGAGGAGGAGGAGCAAGAGGAGGAGCAGCAGGAGGAGGAGGAGCAGGAGGAGGAGGAGGAGCAGGAGGAGGAGCAGGAGGAGGAGAAGGAGGAGGAGGAGGAGCAGGAGGAGGAGGAGGAGCAGGAGGAGGAGGAGCAAGGAGGAGGAGCAGGAGGAGGAGGAGGAGCAGGAGGAGGAGGAGGAGCAGGAGGAGGAGGAGCAGGAGCAGGAGGAGGAGGAGGAGCAGGAGGAGGAGGAGCAGGAGCAGGAGGAGGAGGAGGAGCAGGAGGAGGAGGAGCAGGAGGAGGAGGAGGAGGAGGAGGAGGAGGAGCAGGCCTGGCGCACACTCACGTGCATGAGCAGCACCGCCATCTCCAGCTCTGCGATCCTGCGGCCCAGGCACTGGCGCACGCCCCAGCCGAAGCTGAGGAACCGGAAGTGCGTGGCCGCCTTGTCTTTCTCCAGCCAGCGCGCGGGCTGGAAGTTGCTGGGGTTGGGGAAGACGCTGGGATCCCGGCCCATGGCGTAGTTGGCCACCTGCACCAGCGTCTGGGGACCCAGGCGGTCAGAGGGCACAGGTCACAGGGGGGCTGGCCTCGCCTGACAGCACCCCCGAGACCCAGGGGAGGACTCGCTGGCCACGGCGTGACCTTGAAGGGGGCCCTGTGACCTTGCACGAGGCCCTGTCCTTCACAGCCCTTGGGAAGGCCCAAGCAGCTGGGCAGATCACAGGAAGGACTTCCCTCCCCAGCCCCCCTGTCCGGCCCTTCCTTGGATTTCCATGACACTCGGGGTCACCCACCACCCCCTCACCCCATCTGTCCCCAATCACACCCGCCACCCACAACAGGCAGCGCCCCAGTTCCCAGCACCCCGACCTTGGCAGGGATCTTGTAGTTCTGGAGCACTAAGTCGTTCTCCGGGTATCTCTGCACGGTTACAGAGATGGGGTGCAGCCT